CATCTCTCTGGAGGCCAGTGAATCTCTGAGCTTTCCTTCTTTTCAGCTCTGCTGCCTGTAGGTGAGCCCCTCTCTCCATCTGGGCCTGCTCCCAGGCTCCTGCCTTCAGCCTCACATCTTACTTTCTGACTCTCGAACCTGTCCTCTCCCTCCTTGTTGATTAGGCTAACTTACTTTTAATGGTGTCCTGGCCCTTTGCCAAGCCTCCTGTTGGGGATTGGCCAGGATCCCTCAAGAGTATAAGCCAGCCACTCCTTAGATCCACCCACTGTCTCTAGACCTTCCTCCAAAGATCTAGAGCAGGGGGAAATTTACAGAAGGGCTTGGCCTGCAGAGCCTCTCAGCTCCTGACCACAATTTGACCTTCTGACTGTTACACCCAGGCTGCTACTTGGCCCTCTTTAACAATCAGGACTCTAGCTCACCCTAGCTAACCAGAAGGGAGCTACACATTTATAGTTTTGAATCTTTCTTGGAGTTTAGTTTAGGTCTTTATTGCTTTAAGAACCTATTTATGTTTGTGCAGCGTGTGAAAGTACATGTGTTTACAAGCAATATGTTGCACTTTAATATACACTGCATTAAAACAGCCTATTAAAAATAGGCCACCAATGCATTTTGATGCATTGTATCACAATACATTATGGTGCACAGCCATGCATTGCCTGCTCGCAGTTTATTACAGAGGAAATTTAGTTCCACTTTAAGCTGGATTCACATTTTTTGATTGAGGCATTTTTGAGTTAAATCATTAGAAACGCATCAAAGCACATCATAACGCGCATCAGCACATCATAACAAACTTAAATGTACTTAGATGTGCATCAACACATGTAGATGTGCTTTATGGCATGTTGACATCCAATTCAATGCATTGCACTGCACCTTGAAAATACATGATAATGCACATTATGAATTTTGATGCTCTTTCATTGAGCATCAGCTGCTCATAATCGCTCATAGAGCAAGTACCTGCAAGTCAGTGGTCCTGACCACAGACGGCCTGTGCCCAGGGCTGATAGCTCACAGGTAATCACACCATGAGTGCAGCACAGGGGAGACATTCAGGATCTCATTAAAGAGAATGGATGTCTCAGTAAAGAGAACCTTTCACCAAAAAAATCACATAGGGGACTTTTTGTGCCTTATGTGATGAAAAAAAAAGTTAAGTAAAAAAAAAAAATTTCCAAATTGTAAGAAATTAAAGTTACACCCAAGCACATAAAATCCCCCCCCCCTCAAAAAAAAACAAATTTGAGTCCCACCCCCCACATATATGCATATATAAACATAAACACATGCGTTGGGGGGGGGCCTACACATTAAAACATGATTGTGATACACAAATGTTATAGACTGCTGGACGCCGGAGTTAGGGTTTCCGCCTCTTGATTTTAAGACTGAACACATATTAATTACATAGGTTCTGTGGCTGATTAAGGTGGTTATTACATTCACTTGGTGCCTTATGTGCATTAGCCTCAGAACCTGAGTAACCCTAGGTTCATATCTAAGCATTTTCTGCAGCGTTTTGCACAAACACAGTACAGTTCATTTAACATGATTAACATATACACGTCAATGGGAACGCTGCAGAAAAGCATGCATTGCGTTTTTGCCGCGTGTTTTGCATTTAAAATCTGCCTAGCAACAAGAAAAAAATTAAAAAAAAACACAAAATGTGGCAAAAACGTGGTAAAAAAGCAAGTGCAAAAATGCAAAACGCACCGCAAAAAGCACTGCAGAAATGGATCAAACACAACCTGCATAGATGTGAACCTAGACTAATGTGTTCGGCACAAGTGTGCGCAGCCTATTACATTAGGGTGTGCACCCCAAAACACACATGCGTATCTTTCTGATCTCCCTGCAGGCACATTATCTCCCTACCTGCAGTTTCAGAGTGAAAGAGAAGTGATTCCACACTTGTCTTATAAGCAGAGCCGCTTAGTGGGAGATCTTTCCCATCTCCATATTCCATACCCCGTTTTTTGTTATATTGTTATTTATTGTAAATGGGCCATTTATGCACTTCTGGCTGGATGCTGACTGCATTTCATTGGCTCTGTACATGTACTTTGCACAATGACAATAAAGTTGAATCTAATCTCCTCATTGGCACACACAGTAATAATTGTAATGCACAGGAGGTGATTAGGGTGTGCCCAGGCACAACTGGCACACCCTGTGCGCATGCCTATGGTGTTCGGGTTTAAAGGGATGAGGTGGCAACCCTAGCCAGGGTGGGAGCACCAGACCTCCTCCGTAATGCTAAACTGATGACCTATAGGGGGCATTTAAAGCGTTGCCTATAGAAAATATAGGGTACTGAACTTTGTTGCCATTTCACAGGTGCACACAAATTTAAGGTTTGACATGTTGGGTACAGAGGCCGACTGACAACTCATGGGGCCCCCAGGCAATAGGGGATCATGGGGCCCCTGTGTCCTTGCCCAAACTCAAAAAAGCCTACGAAAAAGGTACCAGAGGCATCTCATGGGGCCTTCTACTGACCCCGGGCCCTCAGGCAGTACCCGAGTTTCCCAATGGTCAGTCCACCCCTGGTTGGGTATCTATTTACTCAGTATATTCTCATCTTTTATATTTCACCATAAAATGAGGTAATTTATTGCATTTGTGTTTTTTACTGAAATTTTACGTTTCCTAGACCTTTGTGGTGATATAGTTTTTCATAAAAGATTGGAACTGGCACTATTTTATTCTCTAGGGTGTCTGCTTTCAGAAAATATAATAATGTTTTGGGGATTTTATGTAATCTTCAGGCCTAAAATGAATTTTTTTAAACTTCTGTGCAAAAAATGCAAAAAAGTCTCTGGCAGTGAAAGGGCTAATGGCATAAGAAACATTTCTTGTTTTGCATCTTTTAGTTTAGCAAAAGTCCAATAAAAACTCTCCCTTTCTTTCATCTAGCACTAGTGAGCTGGAGTTTTAAATGCACCACCATTCCAGCCATATTTATGGTTCACAAAATGTCTTTATCGCTGCAATATTTCTTGCCCATTGTCCTTTCCAAAGCAGTTCATTTAAAACAAGCTTCAGCTGTTAAAATGTATTGCAGTGCTTCCATGATGAATGGAGCAGATGCAGAGGGATGGATGGATGGCCACCCATGAACGAACTTATTTAAGGCTCAGCTGCAGTCAAACATGAAAATATTGCATTGAGCCGGACTAGGAGGACACAGTCTACCTGCTGGATGACTCTCACTTTCATTCTGCCATTCATCTTGTACACCGGCATTACTAAATTCCCTTGGTTGCCAGCATCCTCTCCTTTTATCTAACCTGGGATGTGAGCCTGTAAAATGCAAGCTGAATGCACCCTGCCAGAAAGGAAGGCAGGGGGTTTTGAATAGAATCATGTGACAAGAGGCTGTGGGCGCAAATGATTATAATAAACTTAGATTAAAAAAGAACTCCAAGATTGATCTACCTTTTCATTGACCATCTCCGTACCACTTCATGTTGAGTCACTTACCTCGCTGAAGCATAGACACTAGGAATGCTGACAATTTTCTGTCACTCATACAGTTTATTTGGAGTCTGTGACTTATAATTACTGAAGCCAGACATGGGCTGGAAACAGAAATGTTCACAAAGAGAACAGCAATGGTGGCTCCCATATTTTCATGATACAGTCACTTTAATGGTAGCTAAAACATTCCCTGTGTTGGTACCTCGGTGTTTCAGGACCATCCGAGAAATGCAGCTTAGGAAATCTGTAGGCAGAAAAATAGGAAGCTTTCTATTGCTCACCTTCTTCTAAAAATGCTGGTTACCTGGCTGTCTCCAGCCCCAATATTTTCTGATCCAGTGTCCTGGAACAATCATGCAGCAAATAACACCAGATTGATGTCAAACAGCATAGTTGTTTTGGGTCATGACACACAATCAGCATATACTAGCACTGCAAGAGGCTGATACCAAATCAGATTCAGGAATTTACACTGTTTGCTTTAAAGGAGAAGGGTGGGACTGGAAAAAAACAAACATCTATACTTACCTCCCTGCTACAGCATTGGTCTGATGCTGCAGCTGTCCCCTGCCAGCTCCAAGCCTGAGGACTGAGTGATCACATGACTGCTAATCACTCATGTTCTAAGGTCCATGCTAAACGGAGAGCAACAACAGTCACCACTCTCTGCTCTGCTCTTCCAGAGCACACTGGTGTGCCAGTCTGGAGAAGGGGAGGTAACAGCTGGCTGGCTCAAGTTCTCAGCGGCACACTGGGGGGCTGAGCCACCAGCTGATAAGGCATCTGGATGGATCCCGACATTATTGTCAGGATGCTTCAAAAGTCTGGATCGGGTGAAATCACCCAACAGTAGGCTTAAACCAGCTATCAGCTGATTCTGGGTCACAGGATAGTACCCTCCTGTGACCCACAAGAGAAGAATGGCCAAAAACACTTTGGACATACTGCACTTCCCAAAAATAAATAAATATATATTGTTGGTCATCATTTTTTCTTGAAACAAATTGCAAAATATAAAGTTATCGCTGACCAATAATGCTGTTAGTTAAAAAAAAAGTGCAAAAATATACAAAATGTTAGCTACTTATAGCTGCATCTGCAACCCTCCTCCTTGCCTCCTAGAAGTCCAACCAGGGAGAGAATTACAAGCCATACCTATATATAGTAGTATCTAAATATCACCCAAACTGTACTCTCCGCTCCTCCCATGACCTACTGCTCTCTAGCTCCCTTGTCTCCTCCTCCCATGCTCGTTTCCAGGACTTCTCCAGAGCTTCCTCATCCTCTGGAACTCTCTACCCCAATGTATCACTATCGCCTACTCTGCTCACTTTTAGGCAATCTCTGAAACCTATCTCTTCAGGGAAGCCTATCCTGCCCTCAGCCAATAATGGAATCTTCTACTCCTCCTACCAGTTCATCCCCCACAGTTACTACCTTTTGTACCACTAGCCCCTGCCCTCTTGGATTGTAAGCTCCAAGGAACAGGGCCCTCCTAACCCTCTTGTATTGAACTGTATTGTTGCTGTATTGTCTCCCGTTATATTGTAAAGCGCTGAGCAAACTGTTGGTGCTATATAAATCCTGTATAATAATAATATAGTGACAATGACTCACCCAAGCTCTACTGCTCAACCAGGGGCAGCACTGACCATTTGGAAACTCGGGCACTGCCCGAGGACCCGGGGTCAGTAGGGGGCCCCATGAGATGCCCCTAGTACCTTTTCATAGGCTTTTTTGAGTTTGGGCAAGGACACAGGGGCCCCATGATCACTTATTGCCCAGGGGCCCCATGAGTTGTCAGTCAGCCCCTGTGCTCATCAGAAAGATGTGTGAGGGGTGCTGGTGCTCAGGCTGGTGTTTAAATCCTACCTTTACATACATACTGTGTGTGTATGTATGTGTGTATGTGTGTGTATATGTATGTGTGTGTATATGTGTATATATATATATATATACTGTATATATATATATATATATATATATATATACATACATACATACAATACACATGCAGCACTAGAAATGTAATAAAAGCATAAAACATATAAAAAACATATGAGAAAAAGTCCAACTCTTTCCAGTGTAATATAAATGACCGTATGGTGCTTATGTCGTAAACTATAGCAGCAATCAAAGCACATCAGAATTAATAAAATAGGTAAATAAGGCTATGCAAATAGACTTGTGGTAAACGTCACAAATTGGCATTTAAAGGTACATAGAGTGAATCAAAATAAAATCAGTGGAAATCCGTGATAGTGGTGTTGATTTTATTTTTATTTGGATTTCCACTGATTTTAGTTTATGACATAACCACCATACGGTCATTTATATTACACTGGAAAGAGTTGGACTTTTTCTCATATGGTTTATATGTTTTATGCTTTTATTACATTTCTAGTGCTGCATGTGTATTATATATGTTTTTTTTAGAAGGTTTCAGAGGTTTTTACCTTTCATGCTAGCAGCTTTTCTTATTCATATCCAGCGCTCGTTTTTTATCTATTATATATATATATATATATATATATATATATATGTTTTTTTTTTCTTCAGTACTACATGTCACATCATCCATTGTGCTACCACACATGCACGCCCCTTTATGCCCATTATTGTTTCTGAAAAAAACGTTTCCTTGAGACAAAGCTACTCTCAATTGCTTTTGCAGGGAGGATGGAGCAGGGGTGGACATACTGGCTATCTCGGGTTGTCTTTTCATGTTGACATAGGCCTGTGTACTGCTGCACCCATGTAGGCCTAGTGCCAGGAGCGCATGTGTTAGGGCGTCTACAGAGGTCCCTCCGTAGGGAAAGGAGACACCATCAAACAGGAACAGTGCTGAGCTCTAAAAGTTTGGAAAAGAAAAGTTTGCACACAGTAAAAGGAGTTCTAACATGTAAGTCCTTCAATCAGCTACTGAACTTGATTTTAAAAAGGAGCATTTAGTATCACTTTAATGATGCATTTAATGATATATTAATGAAAACCAAGCTGCATTAATTTGTGTCTTTTATATCTGCCTGCAGTTTAGCTGTACATGCATTTTTCCTGCACCAAAGATCAAAACTTACATTAAATCAAACTGCATGGTGTCAAACATTCCAAAGCCATGTACAATTAGATGCATTTTAAAAAAGGAAAGTGCAAATGGATCTGTATTGTGTTTTTTTCTATTGCCTGCTGTTTATCGCTGATTTTCCCTATGAAAGCCAGCTGAGTTAATATTTAGCACATAGCTGAATTATTAATGCATGCTATTCAGAATGCGCACTCAGCATCATATTTACATATGTGATTTCATTAACACCCTGGGAAAGTTTTTTTCTTTGGTATGAAGAAAAGGAAAGCACCGGTTTTACCGCAATGTTCACATAACAATAGTATTATCCATTTCCTGATAGATGAATGGCACAGTGATTCCATACTGCATATCAATGCCATCTATACTGTACTGTAATATAATAGAGAAATAGTCATTTCATATATTACTTTAGTATATAACAGTATGGAAGAGACAGCAATAAAAGGCAATGGGGGAGCTTTTCACAGTCTCTGTACAGTAGTAGTGAGCTATTGAGCTGAAAAGATGCTGATCCCATACACACTGGGTTTCAGCTTATTATTGTGATTGTAAAGGTATGGTTTTTAAATAAAAAACATGGTATACTTACCTACTCTGTGCAATGGTTTTGCCTCTTCTGGGGTACCCCACCAGCACTCCTGGCTCCCCCCCCCCCTTGCAAGTGCCCCCATAGCAAGCTGCTAGCTGTGGGGACATTCATTCTGGCTCAACCCTAAGCTGGGCTCTGTGTGTCCATTAACATACACACACACAGTACGACTCGGCCCCACCTCCTGCTATCTCCTTATGGTCTGTAACTGACAGCAGCAGGAGCAAATGGCTCCCACTGCTGCCTCCATGTCCAGTGAGGAGGGAGAGAGCAGAGGGAGCTGCTGCTCTCGGATACAGCGCTGGCTCGAGTTGGGGCTCAGGAAAGTGTTTGGGGGGACTGGGGCTAAACACAGAAAGTTTTTTACCTTAATGCAGAGAATGCATTGAGGTAAAAAAAATCTTCTGCCTTTAAAGCTACTTTAAAGGCTAAGTACACCTTTTTTAATACAATGGACTATAAAGTCAAGAGTTCCCAAGGAGGATAAAATAAACTGTGCAGTTTTGCAGGGAGTTTTTTGTGCAATGTGTTTATTTAATTTTTGTCTTTCAGGGTAAAAAGAGTACAGTGTAAAGTGTACATACAAAATATCAGAAAAACATTAGCATAACATTTCGAACAAGCATGAAAAACTAAAATGTTACCATACCATATCATGCCCAACGGTAGCAAGACTGAACTTGACATGTTGGTTATACGACCCAAGAAAAAAGCTTGGGTGTTTAGCTGATGGGGTAGGGGGGCAGATGGGGAACGAGAGGGAGTCAGGGTGGAAGAATATACCATTGGATCACAAGGGTAGGAAAGAAGAGGGGAAAGGTTGGGATCATAAGGGTCCGCAGCCACCCAACTGCCTATTGTTTCCCATCAAAACCATAATGTCAACATAATGGGTCATGCCCATGTGACTAAACTTGACTTGTTGATTATACAACCCAAGAAAAATGTTTAGGTATTTAGTGGATGGGGGATGGGGGGAAGGAGTTAAGGTGGGGAAAGATACCATTAGATTATGAGGGAAGAAAAAAAGGTGGAAAGGTTGGGACAAGAAGGGCCCACAGCCACCTAACTGCCTGCAAGCTGAGAAAGTCCACATCAAAACCATAACATCAACATAGTGTGTCACGACTAGGGGTACCACAAGGTATTTGTCCTTTTTATCTCTCAGCCGAGCCTCTGTTTTCTCATGCAACATAACTTGGGTGAGCCTAGATCTAGTTTCCAATATAGAAAAAGTAGCAGTCTTCCACGCCTTACCTATAATGTGCTTTGAACTACCAATTTAAATGGAACCTTAAAAAGGTATCATAAATATTCTTACCTGGACCTTGTGTTTGTCTTCTGCATAAGATGTGCATTAATTGTGTACAGTCAGGTCCATAAATATTGGGACATCGACACAATTCTAACATTTTTGGCTCTATACACCACCACAATGGATTTGAAATGAAACAAACAAGATGTGCTTTAACTGCAGACTGTCAGCTTTAATGTGAGGGTATTTACATCCAAATCAGGTGAACGGTGTAGGAATTAAAACAGTTTGCATATGTGCCTCCCACTTGTTAAGGGACCAAAAGTAATGGGACAATTGGCTTCTCAGCTGTTCCATGGCCAGGTGTGTGTTATTTCCTCATTATCCCAATTACAATGAGCAGATAAAAGTTCCAGAGTTCATTTCAAGTGTGCTTTTTGCATTTGGAATCTTTTGCTGTCAACTCTCAAGATTTGATCCAAAGAGCTGTCACTATCAGTGAAGCAAGCCATCATTAGGCTGAAAAAACAAAACAAACCCATCAGAGAGATAGAAAAAACATTAGTCATGGCTAAAACAACTGTTTGGAACATTCTTAAAAAGAAGGAACGCACCGGTGAGCTCAGCAACACCAAAAGACCCGGAAGACCACGGAAAACAACTGTGGTGGATGACCGAAGAATTATTTCCCTGGTGAAGAAAACACCCTTCACAACAGTTGGCCAGATCAAGAACACTCTCCAGGAGGTAGGTGTATGTGTGTCAAAGTCAACAATCAAGAGAAGACTTCACCAGAGTGAATACAGAGGGTTCACCACAAGATGTAAACCATTGGTGAGCCTGAAAAACAGGAAGGCCAGATTAGAGTTTGCCAAACGACATCTAAAAAAGCCTTCACAGTTCTGGAACAACATCCTATGGACAGAAGAGACCAAGATCAACTTGTACCAGAGTGATGGGAAGAGAAGAGTATGGAGAAGGAAAGGAACTTCTCATGATTCTAAGCATACCACCTCATCAGTGAAGCATGGTGGTGGTAGTGTCATGGCGTGGGCATGTATGGCTGCCAATGGAACTGTTTCTCTTGTATTTATTGATGATGTGACTGCTGACAAAAGCAGCAGGATGAATTCTGAAGTGTTTCGAGCAATATTATCTGCTCATATTCAGGCAAATGCTTCAGAACTCATTGGACGCCGCTTCACAGTGCAGATGGACAATGACCCAAAGCAGACTGCAAAAGCAACCAAAAAGTTTTTTAAGGGAAAGAAGTGGAATGTTATGCAATGGCCAAGTCAATCACCTGACCTGAATCCGATTGAGCATGCATTTCACTTGCTGAAGACAAAACTGAAGGGAAAATGCCCCAAGAACAAGCAGGAACTGAAGACAGTTGCAGTAGAGGCCTGGCAGAGCATCACCAGGGATGAAACCCAGCGTCTGGTGATGTCTATGCGTTCCAGACTTCAGGCTGTAATTGACTGCAAAGGATTTGCAACCAAGTATTAAAAAGTGAAAGTTTGATTTATGATTATTATTCTGTCCCATTACTTTTGGTCCCTTAACAAGTGGGAGGCACATATGCAAACTGTTGTAATTCCTACACCGTTCACCTGATTTGGATGTAAATACCCTCAAATTAAAGCTGTCAGTCTGCAGTTAAAGCACATCTTGTTTGTTTCATTTCAAATCCATTGTGGTGGTGTATAGAGCCAAAAATGTTAGAATTGTGTCGATGTCCCAATATTTATGGACCTGACTGTAGTTTCATGGTGTCGTTTGCTGCCTTGTACACACAGGCTATAGTAGAGTAAACCTTCACATTCCAGTATCAAAGGTTTCTGTTTGTATCGAAATATGAGGTAAGTGGCATGGGCAATGCACAGGAAAAT